GAACTCTGAGGGAAGCCCAGAGCACCCGCTGTTCTGGGGACAGGCGCCTGTTGGAGGTCAGCTGACAGATGCCAGCGACCTAGGGAGATGGCTCACTCCCCACCTGGCTAGTCTAGTTCCACTTTCCTGGAGGGGACTTGGAAGCAAAAAGGACCCCAGTTCTAAGAAGAGCTAAGCTCCTCGTGACAGATCAGAATGCCTTTGGTCAACCCGCCCCTCCCTCCCAGCTCTGCCGGCTGGTGTGGTGGGGGTGGGGTGTTTCCCATCTGCCCCTCCCCCTGGGGGGGTGGCATGCCTCGGAGCCAGGGTAGGACGTCTGCCCAGAGCCAGTCCCTCTGCCCCGCAGGTTGCAGAAAACCCGTGTGCCCATGTCCTGGGTCGTACCTGACAAAGGGCCCCAGCCAAGGTGGGTCAGACAGGAACTCGTGGTTCTCCCACAGTCCCGGAGGCGAGAAGGGGGGGCGGGGTTTTCCTCGGAGGCCTCGCTCCTTGGCTCGCAGAGGCCTGTCCGCAGCCTGAGTCTTCACCTGCTCGTCTCTGCCGTCGTCTGCTCATCCTCATCTCCTCTTCTCGGAAGGACACCGGTCAGATTGGAGTGGGGCCCATCCTAGTGACCCCCTTTTACCTTATCAGCTCCTCAAAGACCCCATCTCCAAACGCAGTCAGCTCCTGAAGCCCTGGGGCTTATTTTGGGCTTCAGCCTATGAGACAGGGGTGCGGCGGGGGGGGGGCACACAGCTCTTGGCAGTGGCAGCCTCTGAGGGTGGAGGATACTAACTCGGACTCTGACCTCAGTTTCCAGGCAAACGCAGGTGAGAGCTGGGGCCCAGGCACGTGGGGGATTCTGCGCAGCGGGTGAGGTCTTCAGGCTCCTTCCATCCAGGGGACCCCAGTTCTCTTTCCCCAAAGCCTCAGAGTCAGGGCTTTGGAGAGAAGGGGCGGTGTTATTCACCTGCTTTAGCCATGTCCCCTCCCTGTCCCCCGTGCCTTTCACTGCATCCCCTGCGCATGGCCCTGTGACCTTGACAAGCATCTTTAAACGTTTGAGACTCACTCAAGGCCCAACTTCTCCTTATGGCCTGGCTCTGGTGCCAGCTTCACACCTGGAGTGTCGATGTGGGTCACGGTGTCCACACAGTGGCAGGACAGTTCGCTGGCCGTCTGGGCCGCCCATGTCTGGGCAACAGGGCAGCTTCTCTGACCGCACACGTTTCTAGGTCAAAGCCAGCTAAAGAAAGCCCTTGGTCGTCTTCACGGGTGCTGTTTTTAAGCGGTACCTCACTTGTCCTGGTGGTGTTTAGTTTTTGGTTGATGACTTTTTTGTGGGGGAATAGAGAACTGTTAGTTGGTACAGGTAAGAAATCGGAAGTGTACTTTTCTAGAAAGCAGGAATTACATCGCACATGTCTGCGTGGAGTGCCTCCCGGAGTCACGCCACCTACAGCTCAGGGTGGCCCCTCGGCCTGGGAACAGCGGGGCTTATCGGAGGTTCCCCGAAGTGCCACTTTCTCCTCCCTCTATGGGTGGAGAACTGGGGGCCTCTTCAGCTCCCCGTCCTTTGCCTTTTCTGCCCACTTTGGGTGTCCTGCAGCCAGCTGCTGGACTCCATGGTTCGATTTTAGGGCATTTTGTGAGCCGATTGTTAAATACAGCCATTATTAAAAACTAGAGTATACAGACTTAAAATTAAGTGAATTTAAGCAACTTCTTTGTGGCATCAGATAATTTTCCAGTGTTAGAAAATTATTATTAATTAACTATTAGAAATTATTATTAGTAAATTCCCCCAAAGTGGAATCTATTTATAAAAAATTGTGTATTTATTCTTACATGTTTAAACTTCAGTCATCATCAAAATACTCTCCCTTTGATGCAGTACATCTATCGAGACATTTTTTCCACTGCCCAAAACGGTTTTTGAATTCTATTTTGATGCCTTTTAGTGCTTCTGATGATTTTCATTTCACCTCTTCCACATCAGCAAACATTTCCCTTTGAGGACGTTTTTTTCATCGGATGAATAGGGAGGGCGGGGCATGCGGGTCATGCTGTTTCTGGCCAAAAACTGCTAAACACTCAGCATGGTGTTGACATTGAAAGAGTCTTCAAAAAAAAATTCACTGAAGCTGAACACAACCTCTCACAACAACACCAGCTGACACACTGTTACAGATGAGTTCCTAGAACACTCACCTAGTGAGAGAAGCCTGTACTACAAGAGTCTTGCCCTCCAGAAGATAATCTTGGTTTTGGGGGGGGGTCCCCCCTCCTATATTAAAAAGTCATAACAATAGTCAAAATTTGATTACATCTTGATTATTTTGCTGCATTTTACCGTGTTCTGTGCACTCGAAGTTTTTGCATTGTTGGATCTGTGTGATAGAAACCCTATCCAATGGTGTGCTGCTCTGCATCTGAACTGGTGGTGGCTTGCACTTGGCCTCGGTAGGAATATTTACACCTTGGAAATTGGCAAACAGTACAGATCAGGGCTTGATTTATTGGCTTGTTGAATGTGGAGGGCAGAGGTCAGCAGACTTTTCCTGTAAAGGATCGGGGAGTGAGTATTTTCAGTTTCACAGGCCACGTGATCTCAGTTGCACAGCTCAGCTCGGCTGCGCTGTCTGCCAGCGGCCACAGCTACTGTGTACGGGAATAGTGTGGCTATGTTGCAGTCAAACTTTATTTTAAAAAACAGATTTGGCCTGAGGACATCGTTTGCTAGACCCCTGATCTGGACTTAGAAAAGTGGTGGAGAATACGTTGATAGGTAAAGATTAAATTTAAATGTGTTACTTGTCTCTGAACTTAAACAGAGATGGCAGTCACGCTGGGGCAGGTGGGAAACCCAGTACTTCAGGAGGAGATGATGAGAACAGGCAGGGTCTCGGAGCTGGGAAAAAAGGAAAGGAGAGAAATACTCTTGTAGAGCTGGAAAATTATCATCTGATCCCGCTAAGAAGTCGCTGGAGTCTCCGTCGAACCAGTGAGGTTCCGGCATCATCGGGTCCCTTCTGCTTTCCGTATTTCACTTTCTTGGAGTTTGTTAAGGAAAAGAAAGGTTAAGTAAAAAGAAAAGTGAAAATATCGACCAACTTCCTATCCTGGAACTGCTTTCTTTGCTGCCCGGAGCCATAGAGAGGCTGCGTACCCCAGAGGTCAGCGGAAGTCCTCAAAAACATGCTGTGAGGTTCAGCTGGCCACGTGACATTGACATCCCGGAACCTCTCAGGAACCTCTCAGTTGGGAGTTGTGTGTATTGTTCCTTATAAATGGGGCTCCACGCCTTTTATACCAGTAACATCTACAATAAACTTATATGTGCACATTTACACACACGCACGTGCGTACAAGTTCATTTTTCTGGCCTGCCCGTTGCTGAGCATTGCCCGCATCCATGAGTTACGAGTCTGGGGGAGCCTGCTTTGCTGGGTCAGTAGACGGTCCCTCCCATGCCGTTCCCACTGCTTCCCAACCTTACCTGTGTCACCGCCTCCCACTGAAATACCTTTCCAAACAGCTTCCAGACCAGGTAGCTGCCATCTGTGCTCAAGTTGAAACAACAGCTCTGATTGATCAGCCCACGTCCTTAACCCTTTCCAAGCCACCCTTCTGCCTCTTTGGTCTTCTTTCTGGGAATTCCCCGCATGCCCTCCACTCTGGCCACCGCAGGCATCCAGGGCAAACACAGTCCTTTGTAGCTTTAGTCAGACACAGCTGAAGTCTCAGAATTTGTCTGTCGCCGTGGGGTCCCCAGGCCTCCCGTAAGGGCCGTCAGGATGCCAAGCAAGCAGAAAGGATCTTGGCACAGGACGCCCTCGTCCTGCACCCCCTCTCTTTCTCTTCCTAGCCTGAGTGGGGACCCTCCACCACAGCCCAGCCTCCTTCGCAGTGAGTGTCCCTATACGTGGTACTTTTCCCTTCCTACAACAGATGGGAAACCACAAGTATAACTTCAGAATTGCTGTTTTAGCAACTTTAAAAGCTTTTTCCTTCCTTTTCAATAATGTGCACGCATGAAGTGAATTGGGGAAACCTCTCAGTCACGTGGCTCAAAGTTCATTCATTCATTCATTCAGCAGGCTTTTCTTTTGTCCCTACCCAGTGACAATAGTGAACCAACATGGCCCTCACCCTCATGGGCTTATAGTTGTGACCTGTGGTTCTAAAATCCCAGAATAGTACAAGTTTTAAAAAGGTAACCCTTTGTCACCACAAAACAGTTTGCCACTAATTTACAGGGTGGGGCAAAAGGAGGCTTACAGCTGTTTGTGTGGAAGATAATACAATAGTTAATAAATAATAATAGAAGAATAAACTGTATTTCACATACTCACAACTGGAAACTTACTTTTGCCCCACCCTGTATGTTAACTTAGCAGATAAATGACTTTGTATAGAACAGGCATTTAAAATGGACAGACTCCTGGGTGTAACTTGGTGCCTTTCTCACAACCCTTTGACTTTTGTGGGCTCCATCCTGCTGCCCCTGTTGGGGGAGTGGACGCTGAGGACCTGGAATGGGGACCCCTGGGAAAGGGCCTCGGGGCTCGGGCCTCGTCCTCGCTGGGCTGCCCTGGGGACAGTGATGAAGCCGCAGGAAGGTGAGCCTGGCGCTGCCCTGGGCTTTCTGCGTTAGAGGCCCCTTGCTAGGGCATTGCCCCTTCCCCCAGAGTGGAGGTCTCAGGCCCTGGGAGGTGTGTCTGCCCAAAGCCCGTCCCCCTTCCAGATCCTGCTGCAGGTACAGGGAGCGAGGACCTCCCTGCACCGGCCACCCCAGGCCACCAGTGTGCACCCCTCGACCCAGGCAGGTCAGGGGGCAGCTGCTGGGCAGCTGGGCTTGGCGGTGCTGGGGCCTTGAGGACTCCCGCCCCTCCTTTCTCCAGGACACTTGGAGGTGTGGCTCTCCTTGTCTGAAGGGCACCCCAGCTTTTTCACCCTTGCTGGCTCTGCTGGGGGCCAGGGCCTGACCTCGGTGTCTGTTTGCTCCTGTCCCTCAGCTGGGGGGTTCCGCTGACCATCACCGTGGCAGCTGTCATTCTAAAGAAGATTGGTTACGACTCCTCGGACGTGTCCGTGGGCTGGTGCTGGATCGACCTGGAGGCGGAGGACCATGTTCTGTGGATGCTGCTGACCGGGAAGCTGTGGGAGATGCTGGCCTACGTCACACTGCCCGTGCTGTACCTCCTCATCAGGAAGCACATCAACAGGGCGGTAGGTGCCCACGGCCGCCCCCCTCCCCCCAGGCCCCAGCCCAAGGCTCCGTGGCCGCTGTGCCCCCTGTGGGCTTGCCCAAGTCCTGGCCTGGGGCTTGGCTGCCTTTGGGACAGAACTAGTAATGGAGGGCTTGCTGAGTGAGCATCAGGCACCATGCATTACACGCATCAGGGGCTGTCTGGTTTGCTGACTCCACAGCCCTGCTGGGAGTGGGTCCTGTGTCTCCTGCTTTGTGGATGATAAAGAGGGGGGTCTTATAGGGGTTAAGGGCTCCCCAAACCAGCTCTGCTTTCAAGAAGAGGGCGTCAGCCTGTGTGCTCAGCCACAGCCCTCTACTGCCCCCTTCTGGAAAGACTGTAGCAGTGGCTCAACTCACCCCACCCACCACAGGAATTTACGAGAGGTGAGCAGTATCCAAGTATAAATAGAGCTGGGAAGGGAGGCCATGAATCTCCCCATCACTGATACAATAACTCACCTTATTATTGTTGGTGATTAAAATTATATCACAAGTGGTAGACTTCCCAGGCACTCAGGGATTGCTACACCAACAGGCGGGGCCAGCTGGCCCGAGGTCCTAGGGAAGAATGGTCTTTCTCTGACAGTCTGACCAACTGTTCCTTGTTCTTAACGGTTAGTTCTGCAGATGTAAAGTTCGGGCTTCCTCCTGGCCACGGCACGCTGCTACCCAAAAAGCCTCATGGTAACCCGCCCACCCCTCCCTCCACTCCGCCACTCATTCAGTACATTTTTATTGAGCATCTACTACATGCAGAAGCGCTGTGTGGCAGTGGGAGTTCATCCTGGGGACTCAGACTGGGGAGGGGTCCTGTCTTAGGAGAGGTGGAAGTCTAAGTAAATATAATAAAAGATAAAAGGTGACCAGGGCTGGAGCCGTAAGATGGGTTCTCTTGGAACTCTGAGCGTGGACTTCCAGGCTGGTTGGGCAGGGTCGCTGGTGCAGTGCCCTGAGTTTTCAAGGCTGAAACTGCAGGCGAGGCGTCCCTGTCGTTCACGGCAGGCTGCTGGCTCAGCAGCCATTTCGGAGTTTGCAGGGTGCTCCCAGCAGCTGTCGGTGACACCTGATCCCCACCTTGCACTCCCACCCGAGTCGAGACTTCTGGTTCTTGTTTTACTCAGAACTGAACTGACCCTCACCGCTCCCTGAGGCCCCTCTGCTCAGCTGCAGAGACGCCAGCTGGTCTGAATCCTTCTCTGTCTTCTTGCCTGGGCCAGGCGGTGCCCTTTTCTCCTCCTCCTCCCCCTCCTTTCCACTGCCCTGAGAGGTTCCGGGCTCCCTGAGCTCCTCCAGGCTCTGCCCAGCAGCCCCTCTGGAGCTGCCCTTTTGTGTCTGTCCTTCCTCCCTGCCCTTTCTGTAATGGGCAGAAGCCGGGGCCTAGGCCCGATCCCCCACATATGAGGGTGGGCCCACCACTCCACAAATGTTTCTAAAAACAGGAGAATGGTGGGCGGGGAGGTGTTGGTAGGAGTTGTTCCTGGCCTCTAGCTAAGACGAAGAGCTACAAATACAGGAGCTGAAGGAGCAGACGGGCTCTGCCCTCGGTGGCTCGGTTCTGGAAGGGGCTGCTGCCGAAGAGGAGGCAGGTGGTCTGAGCAGGGGAGTTGCAGCAGCTCCGGTGTCCAGAGATGCCGAGATGTGTGTCTCCGCCTCTCACCTAGACCTGCAGTCTCCCCAGCTCAGGGCCAGGCTCCAGAAACGCATCTTTTGTTGTGAGAAGTTTGTTCTATTTTTACAAATTCCGCTGTGATCTGGAAGTGGAGTCTCTCCCTCTTCTCACTGAAGGGTGTTCCCAGGGGCAGAGGAGCCAAAGCTGGTGCTTCCTCACCTCTTCTTGGTGCCTCAGCTTTCAGGGGAGCCCCTCCTGTGAGCTCCTCCTGTAGGGCAGGGTCTGGGGAGCTTGATTCTGGGGGTTAGGGGCCATCCTAAGCAGTCGGCCAGCTGAACAAGGGGGGATGACCTCTAGGAAGGAGGGTGAACCGAGCCGTGAAAAACAGACCAAAGTAAAGAGCTGGCTGCAGGATGGGGCTGCACAGGAAACACCTTTGCAATTCAGTGAGGTCATCAGATGCGTCTTACTCAGAAGGTGACCTGGGAGCAAAACCTGGAAGGTGGCGAGGGAATGAGGCACCTAGATGGGTGGGGAGGAGCCTCCCAGGAGAGGGGACAGCGGGTGCACAGCCCCGGGACGGGGCGTGCTTGGCATGTTTGGGGAATAACAAGGAGACCTGTGCCGCTGCAGTGGAGTAAATGAGGGGCGAGTAGTCGGAGTGAGGTCAGAGGTCGCCTGGGGCTGGAGAGCTTGTTAAGGACCTTGGGAAATGGAGCCACCAAGAGCTTTGGGAGCCTGGCGGGATCTGACTTAGGTTTTCAAGCAACGGTGCTGCTTCTGTGCCGAGAATAAGGTCATAGCGGGGAAGTGGGAGGGTCGGATGGTAAGGGTGACGGAGAGAGACCTGCAGAGGTGGCAGCGGCTCCCCAGAGAAGTTGCGATGGGGGCTTGGGCCACGCTGGTGGCAGTGGACAGAAGTTTCAGATCCTGGGACTCCTCTGAAGGTAGAGCCCCCGGAACTTGCCCACGGACGGGAGGAGGGCTGTAACAGAAGAGGGGAATCAAAGACGACACCCAGATTTCGGCCCAGGCACCTGGAAGGATGGCACTTCCGTTAGCTGAGGTGGGGAGGCGCGGGTGGGCTCCACGTTGAGAGCAGGTGTTCGGTTTCCAGGCGTGTTGTGGGCGGCACGTGGAGATGCGGCCCAGGCTGTGGATGGAGGAGACAGGAGTTCAGGAGAAGGATCCAGGCTGGAGACAGGAGCCCGGGCCTCCAGTGTGCGGGGGTGGTGGGGAGGCAGTGCACGCCTCTGCTTCCTTCTCCCGAGAGTCCGAGTCCCTGGGAAGACGGGCGTCCGTGGGCAGCGGCGGGCAGCCCGGCCGGCTCACGTCTGCTCCCGGTGTGCCCTGTGCAGCACGAGGCGCTCTCCGAGTACCGGCCCATCCTGTCCGAGGCCCACCGGCTCCAGCACCACAGCTCCATGGCCGATAAGAAGCTGGTCCTCATCCCGGTCATCTTCATCTGCCTCCGGGTCTGGAGCACCGTGCGATTCATCCTGACCCTCTGTGGCTCCCCGGCCGTGCAGACCCCGGTGCTGGTCGTTCTGCATGTACGTAGGGAGGTCTGCCCTCCCTGGCCCCACTGTCCCGGTGGAGGGTCAGATGGCTTTCCCCCCGCAGAGTAGGCACATCCCAACGCATCAGCTGACACAGGGCTGGCAGGGGCTCAGCGCCACCATGCCTTCCTTCCTGCCTGAGACGGGGAGGCTTCGAGAGAGAAGGTGGAAAGTCCATGTGGCTCTCATGCAGCCCTGGGCATGTCCAGGTGCTGTCCATCGGCCTAGGGGTGGGCCCAGAAGGGTGGACTGATCCTGGGTCCTTCCCAACCCTCAAGACCAGAAGACAGGTCTGGGCCACGTCTGCACATTCAGACCTGCCCTGAGCTCTGCTAAAGGCCCACATGGCAGGGCCACCACAGACTAGCCCCCGGGGTGGAGGGCAAGGTCCTGGGGCCCGCAGCACTTGCCAGCCTCCTGGCCCGTGCGTGCAAGACCCGCTGCAGCCCTGGCACTCATTCCTCTGCTCTCCTTCCGGACAGGGCATCGGGAACACATTTCAGGGAGGTGCCAACTGCATCATGTTCGTCCTCTGCACCCGCGCTGTCCGGACTCGGCTCCTCTCTCTCTGCTGCTGCTGCTGCCCTCCCCAGGCTCCTGCAGAGAGCCCGGCGGGCCCACCCAAGGCTCCTGCACCCTCCAAGCCGGGGGACTCAGGGACCCTAGTGGACCCCCGATGAACATCCACATACCTGAGCTCTTCCCCTCCTAGTTCTGTGTGTGGGTGCCCCCTCCCTGGGAGGGCAGGTGGCACTGAGTCCCCTGCAGGAAGTGGGTGGGGCTGCCTGCCACACCGGAAGCCTTCCAGCTGCCTTCTGTCTGAGCCGACAGGTGGAGGTGCGATGGAGGTCTTCTGCTATGGAAGCTCTTGGCCCTGTTGGCGGGGGCAGCTGAACACTCAGCTTCTTCTACCTCCTAGACTCTCAGGTGGCACGTGTGCACATGCACCGGTGTCCCGCTGCACCCGAGGGGTCTGTCTGCCTGAGGGCTGGCAATGAGATTCGGGGAGACGGTGGTGTGCGATCGCTGCCAGGTGTCCTTGTGGCTCAGTGGTCGTTGGCTTCCGAAGACCCACCCTGTGGGCAAAGCAGGACGAGAGATGTCTCCCAGGTACCTGTCCTAAATAAAATGTCGGGGGTTATCGGCGATGTGGCCCCACCTAGATATCATGGAGCAGATTCCTGGCGCGTCATGGTGGTGATCTTCCCCGGAGAGCATGGCCATCCAGCAAGAGCCAGCCACCTCGAACCTGATTCCTGTGAGGCTTCCTGGTGAATGTCGTGAGCACAGCCCAGCGCAGCTGCTTGGAGCTGCAGGCCCCCGTGGAACCAGTCTGGGTCTCTCTGGGGGTCGCCGGCTGTGGGTGTGGAGGGCACTCGAATCCAGACCCCTGCCTCCACCAGTCACTTCAGACATGTGTGTCCTCCTCCAGGGCCAGGGCTGGGACAGGAGCAAGGGAGCCCACTGCAGGGACTCCCTGGGGGGACCCTCCACCCCGGTCTCTGAGGTCTGTGCTTGTGGTCGCTGGGACGAGGTGTGTTGGGAGGAGTCTGGCTCCCTCACATCCTAGTTCAGTTTTTATAGGAAAGGTGACCAGAGAGTTCACAAATGGTCCAGATACTGATCCCTCCCCAAAGGTGAAGGTTTGGGAGTTAGTTGGGGAAGTAATATAGGATGGTTATTTGCCTTTAAGAGAGAAAGGAGTTAAAATAAGCATCCGTGTCTACACTCTGTGCCTCTTCCACCAACCAAGTGATAAAACTTCTATCACCAAGTGATAAAACTTTCTCTGTGAAGCCACAGAAGCCATTGGCTGGGGACAGGAGGTGTGAGTATCACTGCCAGAGCCTTGGGTGCAAAGTACAATTTACCCGATAGGGGTCTTTCCCTTGGGTGCCATGAGAACTCTGCAAAACCAAGAAGATTCGTGGAACCTATAAAACCAAAGGCACACTGTACTGTGGACTCCTGTTTTACCCTCACAAGCAAATCTGCAACAGGAAGAGAATCTGGAAGGAACAGTCATCTACAGAACTTGGTCCAAAATGCTCGCTTTTGGTTTCTTTTAAAAAAGTTTCTGTATGAACATCAGCAAGAGGTAAATATCCCCTTAGGATTCCAAGAAAAGCTCAGGGCTGCACCCCAGAAAGCCAGCCAGTCTGGCAGGCTCCTTAGAGAAACGGCTCCCATGAGGGGAGTTCGAGGTTCCCCCAAAATGTCACAACAGATCACGGGCACATGGGTGGTCAAGACCCTCGAGTTAGCTTCTAGAACACAGCAGAAACTCAGGAAGCTGCATATTGCCAACAAGAAAATGCTTCGCAGCTGAGGCTGAGTGCGGGCTTCAGATGATGCTGCTGGAGTGAGTCCTGCTCAGGTGTGGGTCGCAGAGTCCTTGGCTCAGACAGGGTGCGGGTGGGGGTCGTGGCCTCAGGGCGGGCCAGACCCACACAGGCTGCTGTTGTCAGAAATGGCCGGCAGAGGGAGCCAGAGCCTCTCCAAATAGCGAAGAGCATCTCTGGTTGCCATTCCACTTGCCTGATGCCACTGAGGTGCTGTCCTCTTTTGTAAGAACTTCCGCACAGTTGCACCTGGGTATCTCCACTGCCCGCGCCATTTTTGCAGCTGGTGGCGGTGTCACTGTGTGTGGTGGAGGCCGAGTGGGCGGGAGTGGGGAGGAGCTTGTCTAGTGCTGGGCCTGGGGCTGGGCCCAACCTGGAACGCAGCATGCCTCTTACAGCCTTCCGCTGGGGGGGGGGGGGGGGGGGGGGGGCAGTTCCGAACTGGACTTGAGCGGGGAAAGTCCCGTCCGTGGAAGGGAAGCCCCAGGGAGGGAGCAGGTGCCGTGAGCCGGTGTAGGCCAAGTGTGTTCCTTTTATGCTTTCTCCTCTGTCAGTGTCGCTGATGTTTATCCACCTTCGCCCTCCGTCACAGATGTGTGAGCTCGGCACATGTGCGAACAGGTGCTGTGGTTTTGGGCGCTCTCGAAACCTCGGTCTTTTAATCTGGTTTATTGGCACTTGGTGCGTCTTAGTGCTTCGGAGTTGTTTTGTTTTTTAAATAAATATTATTATTTGGCTCGGGCTGAGGGTGCAAACAGAGCTCCCCACATGTCCCCGACAAGAAAACACATTTTTACAAACTGTTCGTTATGGTGTATCAGCAGCATGAGGATTCTTTGCACAAGCAGAATTGTAATGAAAGCCCTGACCGTCTAGGCTGAAGTCAAAGCCCTGCTGTTTTAAATGAAATAAAATAATTATTTTCCTTTTATGTGTTTGGTAGACTGATTGCCCGTGCTGTGGGAGGTGGGGTGAGATGGCTCCGGTGGACCCGGGCCGTGGGGGCCCGGAGGTGACATCTGGACCCTTCTCTGTGGGGAAATGGAGGCAAGTAGGTGGCCACCCCATTGGCAGAATCTCTCCCGTGTTTGCCTGAGAGGGTCACAGGTGTGGGGGGGCGGGGGCATGGAATACAGGTCCCCATGCCCTGCCCCGAGGGAATATCAGCAAGTCCAAGTTCCCAGAACCCACGGCTTGGGGCTAAACTCCTGTGACAGTGACACACTAGCATCAGTCCTCCCTGCATTTTGTTACCACCCACGTGACTCACTGCGGTAGTGGCCCCGGGCCTCCTGGGCCTCCTGGTGGTTGGGAGCAGTGGGGACACGGGGCTCCTCTCTGAGGGGAGCGGCTGCCCTGTTTTGGGCGCATCTGTGTGGCCCTCACAGCCCAGGTTCTGGTTGTCTTTTTTTTTTTTTTCTCTTTAACTGTTCCACCTCGGGAACTCCACCCCTCCAAAGTGTTGCTTGTTTGTTTGTTAAGCTTTCCAGTTTTTGAGAAGTTAAAAATCTATAAATTCTCAAGAAGACAAGCCACAGACTAGGAGAGAATATTTGCAAAAGACACATCAGAATGTCTGATGGATGTTTGCTAAGCTTACTGCAACAACCATGCCCCGGTACCCGTCAATCGAACGGCCCTGCTGTGCGCCCCATGCTTGTGCAGGGATAGGGGTCACCTACTTCTTGGTACAACTGGGAAAAATGCCTCTGATACAGGAGCGTGATCCTAAATGCACATGAGTTCTAACGTTCAACAATAAGAAAACAAACAGCTTGATTAAGAAATGGGTGAAAGACCTTAACCGATGCCTCACCAAAGAAAATGTACAGACAGCAGACAAACATTTGACAGGATGCTCCATGTCACACGTCATCAGGGAAACACAAACTCAGACAATGAGATATCTTGACACCCTGTTAGAATGGCCCAAATCCAGAGCTCTGACAATGCTGAGTGCCAGTGACAATGTGGGACAATGGGGACTCTCAGCCATTGCTGGTGGATGCACCGGTGGTTTGATGGGTTCTTACAAAACTAAGCATTTTCTGACCATGGGACCCGGCAGCCGGGCTCCTTGGTGTTTACCTGAAGCTGAAAACCAGTGTCCACACAAACACCGGCACGGGGATGTTTACAGCTGCTTTACGCACATTTGCTGAAACTTGGAAGTGACCAAGGTCCCACAGAGGCCCACCCGCCACTGCTGGGCTGCAGCTGTGTCTGCAGTAACCCCTGAGATGTTCCAGTACATTCTCGAACCCACAACCCCAATATCGACGGGCGGCCGAAAATAGCACTGGCCATCCCTGCTGTTAAGGGTGCGGGTCGAAGACAGGTGTGTGTGGTGTCCAGGGAAGCAGACATGGGCCTCACCCGGAGGGCAGGTGGGCAAGCTCACTGCAGGGGTGGGGGTGAGGTGGGGTCGGCATCCACCATCACCCAGAATCCACACGGTGCAAGCTCCCAGACTGGTCCCTGAACAGACAGAGGGACGTGAAGGACGGAAAAAACATCCAGGTCCTGGCCAGTGGTCAGGACAACAAGCCCCATGGAGACTCAGTGTAGGCAAGGAAAATTCCGGCCACTTCTGGGGTCTTCGCGCTCCTGGCCAGCACACCGAGATCATGGGCCATCGGCACCACACTGGGGGAATCCAAGAAGGAATAAATCTGTAGGCCTTGTCTGTTAATAAATAGTTTATACACCTTAAAAAAAGGGAAAGGAACCAAGATGTCTATCCTTCAGCAGGGAATGGATAACCTGTGGTACGTGCAGGCGATGGAAGCAAGCTAGGAAGCCGTGGAGGGACAGGGAGGAAGCCTCAATGCCCAAGACTAAGGGAAAAGCCGGTCTGAGCAGGCTGCGTGCTGCAGGGTTCCAACCGCATGGCATTCTGGAAAAGGCACAACGAGGGAGACAGAAGATCCGTGGCTGCCAGGGGTCCGAGGGGAGGGAGGGGTGAGCAGGTTCGTCCAAGGGAACAGATGCCCCACTCTGGTGGGGGACGTTGATAATGAGGAAGGCTCTTGGGTGTGGGAGTGGGAGTATATGGGAAATCTCTGTACACACCCCCCTCAATTTTACTGTAAACTTAAAAAGGATTGAATTGCTGTTTCAACCTCTCCCAGAAACATACTGGTAACCAACCAGTCTGGAATTATCTGGTCAAGCAGGCATAAGGCCATTTGTCCAGTGGGCCCTCTCCATCCCCCACAGAATGAAGAGGTACCTGCAAAACAACCCTGTGCTTTCTCTTCCCCCAAAGAAAAGACGCCGAGTCCCCAAACGGTCCCTTCCCTCAGGTTATCACTAGCTCCCTTGCCCCACCCTCCTTCCTATACCAACGGTCCATTTTCAAAGCTCAGGGCACCTTTCTGTTGTTCAGTGGGGTGCTGCCTGATTCACGGATCGCTTAATAGAGCCAATTAGATCTTCACGTGTTCTCCGTTGAATGTCTTTTTAACAAAGAGTGTGGGGTATAAAACATCCCCTGATGCTTTTTAGGAGAGAGCTGTCAAATGTACGAATCCCAAGAAGATTCATTTGTTGTAAACCCATGAAGGGATTTATCTGCTAAGGTGGACCCCCCCATGGTCAACGGAAGGCACAGGTTTTATAAATAGTGAGTCTCGTAGCCACTTGCTGACAGGGTCTGCTCGTGTACTGGGGTGTACGGAGTACCTGGCAGTGTCGGGAGCAGCGAGAGACCCTCCGACTAATCTGTCGGGTTCCACATTACACCTGTGTATTTGTGTTACCCAAGTCAGCCTCTGCAGGGACACTCTGGTTTCATCTGTTGACTAATAGACTGAGACCTGC